GAGAGAGAGAGAGAGAAAAGAAAAGAAACCAAAGAAAAGAAATGAAAAAGAGAAAGTTTATTGGGAGAGAAAGAAAGACACATGCCCAGACATGGGTAAGCTAGTTGGGGAAGAGAACGTGGAGTGGACGTGTTCAGCTTTTAGCTGCCTAGCACATGCTTACAGGGTCTTACATAGGTATGTTATGTGTAGATAATGTGATCATGTTGCATGTAGATCACGTGGGGTTTGAGGACCCTGGGTGGCTATGTAAGTTGCCTGAATGCTTAATGGAGCATGTACAGCCGTGGACCCCGCAAGTGCCAGAGTTTGGGGTATCTAGACATTTTGCCAGAGCACTGGGTGATGGAAATGGTAACACCGTGGCTTTCGCCGTCCATGGTATGTGGTAAAACAGACTTTATAGGAGAAATTAAGGTCAGTAATGAGTAGACTTTGCAGCAGACTATCTGGAGGGGCCCTGCTCAGTCACCTGCACTTGAGAAGCAGAATGCTTCCTGGCGGTGGCGGGGAAGAGGAAATCAGTGAGACTCAAGTATTAGGTGGGGGCTGCATGCCTTTGGGCCCAGCATTGTGAGACCGAACAGGAGAATGCCACGCTTGAGATCAGTCTCAAACTACAGAATGAGACCCCGATCCCACCACAAAAATACAAGGAGGGTTCGGTGGAAAGGGGGCTTTCCATTGCTGGCTTTGAAGTGACACTGTGGGGGTGTCACATGAGAAGGACATGATGAGCAGTCTTTTCTAGGAACAAATAGATAAACACCAAGTTATCTTTGTGAGGAAAGGAGTCCAGAACATACCAGCAAAGAATGCAGCAAAGTCACGCTAAGCTCCATTCGCTCCATTTTGTCAGCAGCCAGAGCAGGCTTCAAGTGGAGTTTTCCAGACCGTCCAGGCAGACTGAAACCTTGTAAAGCCCTATGTAAAGATACCAAGGCCACCCAGACTTTCAGCTTCTAGCACTCTGAGGCTGTTACTTTAAGACTCGGTCTGCGGGCTGGGGAGATGGTACCCACTGTGACTGAAAATGCTTGCTGTGCAGGTATGAGGTCATCTGCAGGATTATTTGAAGTACTTTTGTATCTGAGTAGTATGTGTTGTGCATGTATGGGTGCAAGTGCAGGGGCCAGGGGGGGGGGCAGAGCATCCAAAGTCTTCTTTAGTTGCTCTCTGCCTTACAACAGGACTCTCCAGTGATCAGCCAGGAGTTTGTCTCTATGCTAAGCCAGCAGGCCAGGGAGCACTCAGGATCCAGCTCTGCCTCCCACTGCTAGAGTTACAAGCATGTGCAGCTAATTTCAGGTTATGTGGGCCCTGCAGGTTCTACCCCATTCTCAACCACCAACCCATGCCCTTATCCCCATCACAAACTTTTGTGTTTAACGTTTTATCTAGGTGTGGTAGAACCATTTTTATAAGCAATGACACTGGGAATTGCTTTTAAATCCTTCACCCGTGAACACAAAAGCTACGTGCAGCATGTGCCAAAAAAGCGATTGAAGCTTTACACCCTGAATTTGAGTTTAATGGCCGATTTTTGGCAGAGAGAAAAAAAAATAAGAATAAAGTAACTGTTGGAAAAGCTCAAGATTAGATTTAAAGCTGAGAGGGCTGGAATGCGCCTTGCGGGTTCCTAATGACTGTTGAATAGAAGATAAGTGATCTGTGTCTTGGTTACAGACTTGGAGGTAAATTGGCCCCATTAAAAAATAATTTGGAGAATCGTATTGATGATGATCATGCTAATGTGGCAATAATAGCATTCCACTCTGACCTTGACTGGGTTTTGGTTCCAGCCAGGTTCCTTCTACCCCAACCACTTAGCTCACACTGACTTTCCAACTGCAGATCATCGTAAACGTTTGCATCTCTTGTTCAGGACAGAGGGCAGCCACCTACCTCTGAAGTAAGCAAATAAACATGACAGTCAGGCCTTCCCTGGATGCCCACCCAGGTGAGGCTTTTGGCCAATGTGACCTAAGATGCAGACAAATTTAAGGGACCTTTGCCATTTACTGGAAGTCTATGTAACAGGAAGACTTATTGAGGCCAATGATTCTAAAACAATAAATACAAAAGATAGGGACTCAAGTTCCAACCCGTGCAAGACTGCCTGGCAGGTTGCAGAGAAAATCTAAACACTAAAGGAGAGACACAAACCATCACGCTCCTGTCAGCCTGCACCAGCTGTTTATAATCACTGCCAGCCAAACTTCATTTTCAGGGAAGATTTCTGTAGTTATCTAGAAATAAGCACGAAAATGACCTCTTATCATGGTAAGCAGGCAGATCCAGGGCTGTATTTTCACTGCCTAAGAACAGCCCTGGCGTCATACGGTGGGCATAACTTCCGCAGCCGCCATCTTAAGCCTAGGAAATGTGGTGCAGTGGTGGATTGCTCTGACCAAGGGACAAACACACCACTCATCCTTCTCTGTCTCTCCTCTCCGTTCCTGGCTTTCTTCATCCTCTCCCCTTCGTGAGGTTCTGTTTGGGGTTGCACTTTTAAACAGAGAGCTGCTTACTCACACATGTTCCTTATCCTGGGTGAAGCTAAACCAAAAGTGCAAAGCACACTCCCACTGTGGCACTTGCCAATGAACTCCGCATGTGTCTGGGGCTGATCTCATCCTTAACCTCCCTCCAGGGCCCATCAGAATAATGGATAGTGTAACTTTTCCCTGCTCATGTGTGTGCTGTAGTTGGGGTTTTCTGCTTCTCTGATTAATAGGTATTCAGGCCTTGCAACCCTCTCTCACTGTTTTCTTTAGATTAAGAGCAAGCTCAGTGTCCAAATACTGGAGTCCAAAGGGAGGTGGGGGGGGCTTTTCAAACCAGGGCGGAAGGAGTTGCTATCATTTACTTTCTGCTTGCTTTTCACCTAGTAGTACAACCAGGCACTAGTGAACGAAGAGGGCCACACTGCGTTCTTGCTGAGTTGGCAGGAAAAGGCACTCCAGGGCTTTCCAGCCCACCTCCTCTCTGGGGTGAAACAGTAAGAGTCTCTGTCTCTCAGAGTTTGTGGGAGTCACTATACATGTATGCACAATCCATGTGTGTGTGTGTGTGTGTGTGTGTGTGTGTGTGTGTGTGCGCGCACGTGCATGTGTGTGTACCTAGGTGTAAAGGCTAAAGCTCAGACTCCAATATTGTGCCTCAGGTGCCATCTACCAGGAGCTCACTACTTAGGGTAGGCTGGAAGCCCTGTGAACCCCAGGGAACCCCAGGGATCCTTGTATTTTCACTCTTCACCTCTCAATCACGAATGAGTGTTGCTGTGTCCAGCTGTTCACTTAGCTTCCTGAGCTCAAACTGGGGTCTTTATGCTCGTAAAGCAAGCACTTTGCCAACTAAGGTGTCCCCTTAATCCCATTAGGAATTATCTTGCCAGATGACTCTAATGTTGCCAGAAGGGTTCTTAAATTCCCCAGGGAGCCTGGGGTCAGGTCACAAAATGAGCTTTGGCCTTGGTTACCTGGCTTGCTGTTCAGGGAAGGACAGAGCATTATCAGATAGCAGTGCAGGAGTTGCCAGGGACATTGGAGGCCCGGTCTTAGCGTTCTTGGTCTTGTTGATAAAAGAATTTAAGAACAGATCTGAAAGGAAACGGGAGGAAGCTTTATTAGAACTTTAAAAAAATATTTCAGAGAGCTGGCAGTCTAGAGAGCTGCCCAGAGGAGGGAGGTCGGATAGATGACTAGGGAAAGCCATGCCATTTGAATTCAGCTTGGGGGTTAATCGGGTGGTGGGCTCTCAGTAAGGCTGGAAGGGGAGGGGAGTTCTAGAGAAAGTGCCAGAGAAAGCATACTTAAGCTCTGGTCAGCATCCAAAAGACAGCAGAGAAGAAAAAGGGAAAGTTAGGACTTTGAATCTCGTGGTGACTGTACTGACCGCATTTAGGGGGTGGGGATTCTGGGAAAGAAAAGTCCATTATCACATTAAACAGATAACTGTTCCTTCTATCTCTTTAGTATGACTTAAGGTGGATCTGCCTTGTGGAGCGGTGATTTCTTAGTCAAGTGATTAGGCAACCCAACTGGATTCGTAGGTCTCCAACCAGGTCGGAGATACCATTGTCTTGACCAGAATGAAATTTAATAGTATTTCCTTAATGGACATCTCCTGTATCATAGGTGCACACATGGAAATGACCTCGGGTTTGTAGACATTAAATATAATGGTAGAATTAATGCCCTGTGTTGAATTGATACCAGTGTTTACAAATTTACAGAGATAACAGTTTGTGGTGGACAAGGAAGACGTGTTGGCTAGATCCACTCCGGCTCGTGACAGTGGACACATGTCTCATTGTATTAGGCAACAGGTAATAGAAAAGGCTTGGGCAGGAAGTACGGTCAGGTTTTACCCTTAAGGCCTGTCCTCTCCCACCTACTAATGACCCATTTCCTCTCTATTCCACCTCCTAAAGGTTCACAACCTAAACAACTCTACCTGCTGAGCACCAAGAGTGTGCACATTAAACCGGTGGAGGACATTTCACAGGTAAACCATAAAATGTCTTATTTCTAAATGGACCACGACAAGACCTGAAGATTCTCTCTTGCTACGACAACAGGGCCATGACAGCTCAGAGCTCCTTGAGTTTGGTTCCAGTAGCAATGGAGTCTAGAGACCTCTCAGAAATGCAAATGCCTAGGCCCCCATTCTGACCTAATATTTAAAAATGATGAGGGTGAAGCCCTCAAAATACGTGTTAAGAAGTCATCCATGTAAATACAACGTGCATTAGAGAGAAATATCTTGGGCCTCACTGACAGGGTGAGGGATGCAACTGGAGGAAGCTGTTAGAGGAAGCAAGCTAAGGGCTGGGTCTCCATGCCAGAAGTGACTTGGTCCTTTGAAGAGTGCATGAAGCTAGCAATCAGCCATCATACTGTGAAAGTCCTTCTAGATATGGATGCTAAGCCCAGCTCAACCAAACAGCTGACTGCTACTTCTGTTCACTCTGTGGTATTAGGGAGCAGCACCAGGAACTAGGGCAATGTAGGCTTTTCTGCCCTGTGAGCCTGTAGTCAAGAAGGAAGATGAAGTAAAAAGCTCTAATGTACTGACTCTGAGGACAGAAATTCAAAGTCAAGCAGAGTGAGGAGCAGACATGGCTGCCGGACTTCATTGCCTGAGAACAGGGCTATGGTGGGTGTTCTTTTGTTCTTAATCTTGACCACCACCACCCCATCTCACATAAGTGGCAGCCAAAGAGCCAGATTGGCTCCATGTTGGTTTCTCATATAGGCTTTAACTGAACATCACATGGGCCAGAGTTCTTTTCCTTACCATAATGATTGGTCAGGAAACCTCAACTAGTCTGTGAGAACAGGTTATGTCCCTAATGGAGAGACCAGAGTGGTCCAAGCCAGAGATGTTCCCTGGTCTGAATGAAGCTCCTTATGAACTGCATTGGAGATGGAGTTCAATCCCATGAATAATAGATGCTTACATTGGACAAGGCTGACATACAGAATCATAAAAGTCAGGCAGGAGTACTACCAGTTTCATCCTTCAGCGTGTCCCATCTCTTATACAGTGTGGGATTTACAAGAACTGCTGCATGAGGCTAGAGGGAGGAAGGAAGGATTGCTGATGTGACTAGAGATAAAGAAATACACAAAAAATTCAAAACAAAATAAAAAACAAATCAAGACAGAACATGATAAAATCACTACATACAAGTCTAGTGCTATAACTCAACACTGGAGACCTCATGACTCCCACCACTGGGGTCAGGGCTCAGAAGGTATGACATGTGTGATGTATAATGTAAATAATAAGACGGGGAGTGGAAGTAAAAAGACTCTTTGAGGCATGTCAGAGATCTCAGAGCAAAACGAAATACAGCAAGTATAACAGATTGATGAAAAAGCCAGCAGTTGGAACAGACCAAGCAAGAAGCATGGTACACGAGTACTCAAGTAACAGTGGTGTTCCTGGCGGGTTGAGGTGGTTGTTTCTTTCACTCTTTTGAGTAGCTGGCTCCCATGGACAAGTTAGCTTACAGTGGGCTTTATTCTGCGGGCCCCAGGAGGCTACACATTGAACTGTAGTGTCGTGATTCATTTCGGAAAAAGACAAGTTCATGCTCCCCTCTCCTCACTAGTCTCTGCCCATGCAATGATGTGTGAGGGGTCACGACGCTTCTGTGATCTTGGCAGAATCCATAGAGTTTCCTCAGTGGCCGTGGCAACTCTTCCCACTGACGGGAGCTTTGGGAAAGGTAAAGGAGGAGCTCACACATTTATTCCCACAGAAAGGAAGCCCCACACAGAGCCCCGAGCTAAAACGAACACTCCTCAACCTTGGAACATGATTCCCAATAGGCATTTCCCTCTGTTACTCGGTCCTGCAGCTGCAGCTGGCTCCAGTGCTGTGTCACCTGCAGGAACAGAGGGTTCCGCTTCCTCCAGTGGCCATTCCCTTCAACTGGAAGAAGCTCCCAGTGCTCTTTACAGACTCATGTTTCTGAAACTAAGATAGGAATTATAATAGACACTTAATATAGGATCCTCTACTTTACCCTCCAAAACAATGCTAAATAAAAGGTGTGTCTTATAAGAAATGCCACGAAGATGATACTCTTGATGATGACTGTCTTCTTTCATTGTGTGTGTGTGTGTGTGTGTGTGTACTGATGGCCATATGTGTGTATGCATGTACACAGCTGTGTGCCAGTGAGTATACATGAGAGTGCCATGGGAAGGCCAGAAGTGGGTGTTGGTTGTCTTCCTCTATTGCTCTCCACTTTATATTTTGAGACAGGGGCTCTCCCTGAAGCTTGAGCTTACTGATTCTGCTAATTTAACTGGCCTAGCATCCTCCTATTTCCTCCACAGTGCTAGGATCACAGAAGTACACCCCCACAACCAGATCTGTATGTGCTGGGAGTCTGAACTCAGGTCCTCACACTTCTGTGGCAATCACTTTCCTGACTGAGCCATGCCCGCAAGTCCCTCCTCTCCTCTTAGGTTAATAAAACTTTAAGGTTTGCATTTTCCCCTCACTGGCACATACAGCCTGTTCAAGTCTTTCCTTCCCCCACATACAGTGAGCTCCCCTAAGACAGTGTTGTATTCCCCTGGACACCTTTCCTGTCTCTTGGTCAAGCACCACTTAGTAGGTCCTAGCACATACTAGGTGTGCAACACTTCTTGAATTAATGGAGAGACCACTGGGTGGCTATATGAATAATACCCTAAACATGTATGGTTCAGGAATATCTTCTAAAAAGCACTTATAAGTAACATATAGTTCTTTTTCATCTGTAACCTGGGCAGAATCTATAATATTGAACATTTTTAAAGGACCCACAATTGAACCAAACTCTGTGCTAAAAGCTTTATATGGGGACATCTCATTAAACTGCAAATGAAGCTTCAATTACTATAGTATCATTCTCGCCATCTTTTAGGATGTACTGGTGTGGGAGAGTCTGTGTCCCTAAGTCAATAGCTTAAAAGTAGCAATGACATACCTTAACTCTGTCCCCGGACTGTCCTCCTAGTGAGCAGAGTGACTACTCAAACATCCCACCCCTGGATTTCAGTTATGAAGTTAAGGACCAAGCTCCTTCGAACATTGAGTCTGTATCCTTTCCCAGCTCTCTGCAGTCAGAGCAGGACCTGCCACATAGTGAAATGCGCCTTAATTCCAAAACCCAGTTCAGGAAAAGATAGACATATTAATATAACTGTTTGCAGATTTATCTCTATCTAGGGGATTTTCTTTTATCCCATTTCAAGTGGGTGAGGTTTATCTGCTGAATTCAACTCTGAATGTAAAAATGCATTCTTACTAAATCAGACACCATAATGGGATGAAGGTACAGATGAGTCAGCAGAGATAAAATTCAGAGGGAGGTATTTTTCCATTCAGATGAGAGCCCAATCACGTTCCCGGACCTGGCTGTCTTAGGAACTGCTAATTGTTTCTATTGTCTAAGCTTTTCTCCCCTTTGGTAGGATGAAAGATCTCATTTTTAAGGGGGGTACCTGGACAACAGAAACAAAGCTGCACTTCTCAGGGTTGCGGGGAGGCAGATGGTTGGAGTTATGTGTCTAAATTCTGCCCAGAAACCTGTAAGAATCACATGACTGATCTCAAGCACAGCTTAAATGGCTGCTGCCATGTCTCCCTGTGCTGTTCTTTTTATCCCTTCCTTTCTGATGGCTGAAGTTTCAGTGTAGCAGCTGAAGGTGAAGTCACCATCTTGGGCCATGGTTCCCTTGGGAATGAAAATTCTATACAGTGAAATGAGACGGAACAAGATGGAACCTTCGTTCACAGATATGCACTGACTACATCTAGATTTTGTTGTTGATGATGACAGTGGTGATGATGTGTGTGAGTGTGTGTGTGTGTTGGGGGAGTGTTCCTATGCTGTGACACAGAGGCTGAGGTCAGAAGATGTCTTAGTTAGGTTTCTGTTGCTGTGAAGAGATCCCATGACCACAGCAGCTATTATCAAGGGAAAACATTTCACTGGAGTGGCTCACACTTTCAAAAGTTAGTCCACTGTCATCATAGTGTGACAGGGTGGTGTGCAGGCAGGCATGGGGCTGGAGAAGTAGTCTAGTGCCCTGCA